TATATTTCAGACAAGATTTCACTAAATCACTAATCTGTCCAGGCTGGGCTTGAACTTCCTACCTCAGGTTCCCAGGGTGTTGGGATTACAGCCAGGTGCCACCACACTCAGCTGAGATTACACTCTTGAATTCACATGTATATGTACAAAATACTCAGCTAATGCCTGCTTTGGGGATCTGTGGCACTCTCTATTGCCTATCCCGGAGCTAGTCTTGCTTTTGTAACTGGGAGGGATGGCATGGTCTCCTGCATTGCTTTCTTTGGCTCCTGGGAAGCTTCTGGTGTGTATTCCATTACTAGTTTTTTCTTTCAGAAGAAAAGTATTCAAAGATCCAGACTTTCACTATATCTTATAGCTGTTAAATTTACCTGTCTTTCGAGGTAGGTGGCGGAACCACTGAGCTAAATCCCCGGCGAACTGAATTTATAAGTGTGCTTTTTTTTTTTTTTTTTTTTTTTTGGTACTGGGGATCAAACTTGAGTCCTTGTGCTTGAGAGGCAGGCAGTGGAACCACTGAGCTAAATCCCCAGCTGTTGGGTGCTTATTATGTTCCATACATCATTTGCCAACCACCTTCAACTTCAGCTGTAGGTTCTGGAATAATTGTTACTCAATAAAATACTTGTATAAATCCTAGACATTCCTTTAATGAAAAAAAAATTTACCTGTCTTTGCTTTTCATTTTCTGTATTCTTTTGTACAAAACAATATTTCTGTTATTATTATTATTATTATTATTGTTATTATTTTTTTTGGTACTGGGGATCGAACTTGGGGCCTTGTGCTTCCAGGGCAGGCAGCAGCACCACTGAGCTAAATCCCTGGCCCAAAACAGTATTTCTTTCTTTCTTTCTTTTTTTTTTTTTTGTTAAATTCTTTTATTGGTACATTTTAGGTATACAACACAATTACATTTCTTATTGGGAATAGTACCTTTACATAATGCATCTTGAAAACAATATTTCTTTATAGGGCCTATTTATTTCTAAATCCTGTCTTAACTTAAACATCTCAATACATTTCCTTCCAGTTTCACTCTTCATTTTACTTTCTAATTACTATATTATTATGATTATTTTAACTGTATCAGATTGTCCTTAACAGAAACTGTCACAGTTAATAAGTTTTTCTTCTCTTTATAGCTCTTGACCATGACAAATGTGACCAGAACACAGATTGCTACAGCTGCACAGCCAACACCAACGACTGCCACTGGTGCAGTGACCATTGTGCCCCTAGGAACCACAGCTGCACGGAAGGCCAGGTCAGGTGCTATTTCTCAAGGACATTGTAGAGGATAGGAAAATTCTATTTGGGCTTAGGTAGAAATTGAATATATGGCATAATGACCCAGAATTATTTTTAAATGGGGTATAGATTTGGATTTTACTATTGTTCAGCTTTTCTTTTAGGGAAGAATGCTTTGTGCATCCTGATTCCAAGGGTCTCACTAGCCACAGGGTATGTGTGTGGTGTAACAGAAGAAGGTAGTAGTAGTGTTGTGTAAGGACTGTTGGCCCTGGGCATGGCCGGGGCTAAGTACCAGCTGCTGGGTAAGAGGCTTGCAATGGTGAGCTCATTCCACCTGTGTAAGGTTTCAAGGGAAAGTCAGGGTTTGAGGCAGGTGTATAGTGGCCCTCATTGAATTATAGAGATGATGGGCTTTGCAAAATATCCTTGTCATTTTTCTGTCTTAGCTCAGCATAGCTTCAGTGCACACTCTATATGATTTTTAAAATTTAGGTTATAATGAAAGACTAATGGGAGACTATGTATTTTTATATATATATTTGTTAATATACATATATATTTGTTTTATTTATCAGTCTATTTTTTATTTTTATTTTTGCACTATTGGAGATTAAACCCACAGACTCATACATGCTAGGCAAGCACTCTACCACACCCCTAGTTCTTCTTATTTTATTTTGAGACAGAGTAGAGTCTTTTTCTTTCTTTTCTTTGGTACCAGGGATCAAACTCAAGACCTTGCACTTGCGAGGCAGGCGCAGTGCCACTGAGCTAAATCCCCGGCCCAAGAGTGGAGTCTTAACTAAGTTTCCCAAGCTGACCTAAGATTTGCAACCCTTCTGCCTCACTCCTGAATAGCTGAGATTACAGGCTTATGTTATCACACCCAGGGTTTGATAGTAAGACCTTTTTTGGCCAATTTAATGCAGTTTGTAAAATAGAAAACTTTTAGATTGTTAGGGGAACATTTGAAAAGCAACAAGTTTAACATTCTCATTTTATAGATGAGCAGGTGAGGCATGGCATTTTTTTGCACATTTTCCAGGTTGTGAAAGTTAGCCAGGATTATCTGGGGTGTGGTTCTAAGCTGCATTAGTGGAGCAATACAAAATCCTGCCCTCCTTCCAGGCCAAAAGGCAGTGTGCACAGGCTGCACACCTGTCTGGGTCGCTGCCTCCTCTAGCAACCAGGCAGGCAAATCACCTGCACTGTGGTACAAGTCAAACCAGGACATCAAGGTGACTCTGCTCTGACCAACAGGAATTGTGCCCATCTGGTGGCACTCAGGTGAGCAGTAGAGCTGGAGTTTAGGCCAGACCTCCACACTGCACTCTGACACAGGGCTAGCTTATTGACAGGCTCCTGAGTCTGAATACTGACAGTGGGTGTGGTGGATATCAAGAAGGGCTCTATTCAGATGTGGGCAGGTGCTGCATCACCCCACTGCTGGAGCTTGACCAATCTCAGAATACCAAGGCATGGCATTTTTTAAAGAGTGGGCTGCTACCTTGCCAGGTAAAGACATGTCCTTCACCAGAACATTCCACTGCAGTGTTTCTGCTGCGGTGCTACTTCATCTGGATCTGATTTATGTAGCTGTCTTTCTTTGCTGTTTGCTCCTCAGACTTTGTTATCTTTAGTATCTTACTGATCTTCACCATGAGTTCTCCATGTGAATATGACACAAGCTTTTTTGTCTGTTGTCCTAGATCTCCATTTTCAAGTATGAGAATTGCCCCAAGGATAACCCCATGTACTACTGTAATAAGAAGACCAGTTGCAGGAGCTGCGCCCTTGATCAGAACTGCCAGTGGGAGCCCCGGAATCAGGAGTGCATTGCCCTGCCTGGTAAGCCTGGTAGGGGCACCTTATATGTGGGTCCACAATTCCAGCCCTGTATTTGGAAGTTAGAAATGTGTCTTATGCCCTCAGCACATCCAAATGAAGCACCTGGAATTCAAATCACAAGGATCATTTGTCTATTCAGTAATTTAAACTAGTAATATAGTAGTTTCATGATTCTTAAAAGTTTTTTTTTCTTCTTTCCACTTTGCAAAAGAAAACATTTGTGGCACGGGCTGGCATTTGGTTGGAAACTCATGTTTGAAAATTACTACTGCCAAGGAGAATTATGACAATGCTAAATTGTCCTGTAGAAATCACAATGCCTTTTTGGCTTCTCTAACAACCCAGAAGAAGGTGGAATTTGTCCTTAAGCAGCTGCGAATGATGCAGTCATCACAGACCATGGTGAGTTAACATCCTCAGAACTTCAGTATCTAGTACTCACCTTTCTACTGAGGGCCTGATAACAGCTTGTATGTGGAAGGCTGTGGATGCCTTGTGATGTGGTTGGCCAGAGGAGAAATGCTAATACACTCAGTGTCTTCCTTTACTGCCTTTTTTTTATCTTATAATTTTTAATATTTTGAATATTTTTGATAGTTATATCTATTATAAGATACATGAATAATCTATAGGACAAATAGTAACATGTATGTATATATTCACAGACTGATGACTTCAGTGGACAATTTCATACCTGTTTTATCCCTAGATCCTGTGGGGGGTGGAGAAAGACCTCATAGCTAATTACCTCATTAGATTAAGCCACTTGCATCCCTTGGATTTAAGGTGTTATTATAGCACATAATATGATTACCACTAGGAAGTGCATTGGGTCTTTCTTAGACCAAGCCAACCCAAAAGAAGAGGGCACCTTCTTGTTAAAGATTTCTGAGCTTGGAAAGGTTCATTTTGCCTTCCTGCTCCCATCATCACTACGCTACTCTCAAGCTCTTGGGTAACTCATAGTTGTTAAATTAATAATAACATTTTGTCATTTTTAGTTCAAAGTTCAAGAACTGTATTTTATACCTTTAGTTAACTATGTATTTATGTAATGAAGCTCTTCTAGCAGTGTGGGTTGTGGTACAGAGAAATTTGGAGGAAATGTTCTTGTTGGGCACAGAGGCGTTGAGGGCAATACTTTCTTGGGTGGAGCCATCTTCATATGACATTGGAAAAGTGTGACCTGGGTCCTGGCTACATGAGCCTATGTATATCATCCAAAGGGCCATTCCGAGGCTGCTAGGAGGTATACCCTACATTTTACTTTTTTTCTTTTTCCCAGTGTAACTTTGACATGCTATGGACACTCAGACATTGCTAGTATATTCTTAGTGTGCTTTCCTTAGAGGATATCAGGGATACATTTGTTATTTTATGATATTTTGGTAGCTTTTTCACGTTTTATAGTCTCCATCAGAGACTGTGTTGTTTCTCTTCTCCTCAAATGTGGGCCCTCCGAGCATTCTGTCTTGGGCCATCAGCTGACCTTTCCATGGTCATTCACTCCCTCAGGAAATGAATGGCAGGCTCACAGCTTTGCCCGTTATGCTGGGGTCTCTTCCAGTGACACAGGTTTACTTTTCTGAAAGACTTCCCGGCTAGAGTGTTTCCACCACCCCAGCTGGCCACAGGTGTACCTCTGCTCTGTCTCTCCTTCAGATTTCCTGACTAACAGGTCCTGGGTAGTCTGGTCTTTTGTGCCACTTTTGTAAAGTAGAAACTCAAGTCTTGTCATAAGACTAATAGATGAGACAACTAAAGTATAATGTACTTCCATAGCTTTTAACTCTAGATGTGGCAATCTGTAGAGCCCAAGTATGTATTGAAAAACAAGAAAGGGCAGAGGTTGGCTAGTGGAGCTGGAAGAGAAAATCCTGAAGGTGGGAAGAAGTGAATTGGAAAGAAGAGGGCCAGGCTTCCTGAGTATTGGTACCCTCAGGTGCAAGATGGAAAGATTGAGGAGAGGCTCACTGAGAAGAGCTGCAGGTGTGTGTGTGCATGCTTGTGTGTGTGTGTGTGTGTGTGTGTGTGTGTGTGTGTGTGTGTGTGTGTGTGTGTGTGTATGTGTGTCTGGCTGCAGGGTGGATGGGAAGGAATTGTGATAGCTGGGCTTCAAGAGGAGACCAAGTCCTGAGAGTTGTTGTCCACAATGCTAATGGCTTTGAATTTTATCATGAGAGCAAAAAGAAATTATTGAAGGGCTTTTTAAAAAGTCTTAATTTTAATGATCTTTCTTTTTAAACTAATACATATTTCAGAGCCAGGGATTTAGCTCAGTGGCACTATGCCTGCCTTACAAGCACCAGGTCCTGAGTTCAATCACTTGTACCAGAAAAAATATATGTATTTCAAAGGAAATACAGAAAATACTAATAAATATAAGAAAATAAATCTCACTCATCATTTTAACTAAAAACAACTATGGGATATGTTTCTTTTCTTTTAGGTCTTTTAATAGGCAATATGTAATTTTCCCCATCAAACATGGAAAGACATTGTACATTTTGATTTTTAACTGCCCAAATTAGAAATATCTTTCATTTCTTGGCTAAACTTCATACTTTGATTTTTTAAAAAATTACAGTAAGAAAAAAATTCAAGAGCGTAGGAGACAGACTGTGCCAGAGGTTCGCTGCTCTGTTATTCTTTATAAAATTTATTGCCAAGTTGGATGCATAGAGAAAGAAAATGTGGTATGTATATAGTTAGAATGGAGTATTATTCAGCCTTAGAAGGAAAGCCTGTCATCTGCAACAGTACAAATGAACCTGGAAGACATTTCACTAAGTGAAATAAGCCAGAAACAAAAGACAAATCAATATGACCTCACTTATATATAGAATCTAAAAAAATCTTATCACATGAAAGCAGAGAGTAGAATGGTGGTTGCTAGGGGTTTGAGAGATGGAATAGATAATGGAGAGATTTTGGCCAAAGGGTACAAAGTTCTATTAGTTATACAGATGAATAAGTTCTGGAAGTCTAATTACAGTATGGATATTTTAGTCAATAATACTGTCAATAATATTTGAAATTTGCTAAGTAGTTTTTAAATGTTTTTACCACATGTGTGCACACAATAATAAATATGTGAGACGATGGATGTTTGATTATGGATATCATTTCACAGTGTACATGTATATCAAAACATCATGTACACCTAAATAACATAGTTTTTTGTCAATTATACCTTAGTAAGTCTGGGAAAGAGAATTTTAAGTGCTGAACAGTACCTTACAGCTAAAGATGGAACTCTTGAATCATCTAAACTGGCCATGGCTCCAAGCAGGCTTGGGTAATGATCTGAGGACAGGCATCTACATTATTTCATAAATATTGGTAAAATAATTTCATGTATGAATGGGCATTTAAACCAAGTTTGGGGGTGACCATTTCTTTAGCATTTGTCATAGGATGTAGAAATTTTAGAACTTGATTATTGCTTTGCCATTGCTCTCTGTGAACATTTTCATACATTATCTTTTCTGAGCTATAGTTCTGTCCTTTGTAAAATAACCGTATTGAAATGATGATCTATCCTATACTTTCATGGCCGAATTTAGGAAATAGGAAGTTTTCCTATATCTGTGGAATATCACCTAGCTTAGTGGCTTTTATCTAGAAGCTTGTTTTGGTCAAGATGTTGGTTGTTTTCACAGTTGTTTCTGTTCTGCCTATAGTCCAAGCTCACCTTAACCCCATGGGTTGGCCTGAGGAAGATCAATGTGTCCTACTGGTGTTGGGAAGATATGTCTCCGTTTACAAATAGCCTACTGCAGTGGATGCCATCTGAGCCTAGCGATGCTGGCTTCTGTGGTATCTTGTCAGAACCCAGTACTCGAGGATTGAAGGCTGCAACCTGCATCAACCCACTGAATGGCAGCATCTGTGAAAGGCCTGGTAAGGACACAGGAAGTTGATGGAGGGAGAAAGTGAGGCATAGTTACATATTGAGATACTTGAAGTAATCATGAAAACAGAGGGGGTATTGACTTCAAGCCTATTTCAAACATAACTTAGAATTTTAAAAGAAGAAATAATCCATGGCTCTCACTAGTTTGAGCCATAATGAAACAAAAAATAACTAACATTACTGAAAGAACCTGAAGTCCTAATTAACATTGAGATGGATTGATTTGTTGACCATCAAAAATGTTGAGAATTACTCTGAAAGGCAAATGTCTTGGTGTTGGCAGAAAAATGCTGTGTAAGAAAGAACCAAAAAAGTAACCAAGTCACTGCATGGACAGTATTCCAAAAGCTAGTGTCAATGGGGAGAACATGAGAGCAGTTCTGACTGAAGCCAGAAGCCAGCCAGAACTGCGCCCAGGATGTGGCAGAGTACTGAACAATCAAATGCTTAGAGTAGCTTCTCAGATTTCCTTCTCTCTTGGGGCTAAGTTTAGGCTCCATGAAGGAATAGAGGCAGCCTTGGTAGCCTGCAGATGAGTGCAAGATCCTGCACAGGATCCGCAAGCAATAGGGGGAATTGTGGGTTATTTTAGAAGGCTGGACCCCACTTACATCATGGCCTGTTTTAGGAAGGTAAATATAGGAAGTATAGAAGAGAATTCCTAGCAATACAGGAGTCACCTTAAACAGGATTTCTAAACTACTATATGAAAGCCTGTTTGAGTCCTAAATGCTTTGATGAATTTAATGTATTCCATGGTCCCCCCCGCTAAAATTACCAAAAGGATATTACAAATTCAGGTAGATTGTAAAACCCCTCAAGTTCATCCCAGATTCCCTATATTCGAAGGGATTTAGGGCTCTACTTTTGTGGAAGGATTCTCTTGTTCCTCAATCTTTGTCCTCAAAGATTTTTGAATGAGTCAGTTTTTCCCCAGTTATCTAAGTATACTTGACTAAACAGTACATGAAGACTCTGAAGTTTTCTGTTTTCTTCTTCATATACTTTACTGCCTAAATTGATTTCATGATAAGCTGATGGATCACAATCTGCATTTGAAAAGTTTTTGACCTTAGCTGTAGTAGTGGGTAATCTCAGTGTCCCTCTTGGGTTTAATCCTCAGCAAACCACAGTGCCAAGCAATGCCGGACACCATGTGCCTTGCGGACGGCGTGCGGGGAGTGCACCAGCAGTAGCTCTGAGTGTATGTGGTGCAGCAACATGAAGCAGTGCGTGGACTCCAATGCCTATGTGGCTTCCTTCCCTTTTGGCCAGTGCATGGAGTGGTATACAATGAGCAGCTGTCCCCGTAAGTGAAAAGGGAGTGCCCTGTGTGAGGCGACAGTGCTTACAGTGCTCTCGCCTTTGAATGTTCTGTGGATTTGAACAAGTTGAATTCTACCTTCTGCCTCAGTCTCTACAGAGGCTTTTAAGCTAGTCCTGCCTGATGAAAACGTGCATATAGAATGAGGCACAATAACACACTTAACTAAATAAATCTGGGATAGATCACAGAGTACAGAGGGACTTTCCAACCTCAGGGTCCTGTTATTCAATCCATGTAATACCTCCAATCTAAATCTCTTAATTTGTAAAGTAAGTGCTTTTCAGTAGAGGATCTCTGAGGTTCCACTGCCTCCAACATCCTGGGATTGAAAGAGGAGTGGAGAGGTTCCCTGTTATATATTGGGCAAAACATTTGTTGGGCTCTTTAAAATTAGTTGTCTCATTTAAAAGGTCACTGTAATATAGTTTTATTTATATATATATATATTTATATATATGTTATATAGTCTGTTAAAGGAAAGGTAATTTAAATACAGTGAATTTAGATCTACCTGTGATAGTGAATTATAGCTTGTGCTTTTTTGTAGCTGAAAATTGTTCAGGCTACTGTACATGCAGTCATTGCTTGGAGCAGCCAGGCTGTGGCTGGTGTACTGATCCCAGCAATACTGGGAAAGGGAAGTGCATAGAGGGCTCCTATAAAGGACCAGTGAAGATGCCTTCTCAGGCCTCTACAGGAATCACCTACCCACAGCCCCTTCTGAATTCCAGCATGTGTCTAGAGGATGGCAGATACAACTGGTCTTTCATTCACTGTCCAGGTAAGATTCCAGATCTTGTGCATGCTAGGCCAGCGCTCTGCCATTGAGCTACATTCCCAGCCCCTATCTCTTTACTTTCTCTCAGCAGTATTTTATGGTTTTCAGTGTACATGTCATGTATTTATGTTGTTACATTTTCATATAAACTGTTTTGTTTTTCATATTATTGTTAGTGGGATTATCAACTTGATTTTCTAATTGTTCATTGCTCATATGTAGAAATATAATTGATTTTTTTCATGTGCATTTGTATCATCCAACCTTGCAGAACTTATTCTACTAATGTGTTTGTTTTGTTTCAGTGAATTTCTCAGGATCCTCTACATGTCATCTGGTACTAAAGACAGTTAAACACTTTTCTTTCCAAATGGAACAACTTTTTCTTTTGGGGGAGCTAAATGCCCTGACAAGATACTCCAGTATAATGTTGGATAAAGTGGTTAAGAGTGGGCATCATTGTCTTACTCCTTTTCGTAGGGGAAATAATTCAGGTTTTTTTCCATTAAATATGATATTAATTTAGGTGTTTCATTCATGCCCTTTATCAAGTTGAGAATGTTTCCTTCTAGTCCTACTTTTTTGACGGTCTTTGTCACGAATAGATGTTGGATTTTGTCAAATGCTTTTTCCATGTGACTGTTCTTTATTCTGTTAGTACTATGTATTACATTAACTAATTTAAGGATGTTAAATCTGACTTGCATTCCTGGGACACAAAGCCCATTTAATTATAATGTGCTAGATTTTAATGTGTACTAAATTTCAATTTGCTAGTTGGGAATTTTGTGTCTATATTCATGAGGAATGTAGATTTGTAGTTTTCTCATAATGACTGTCAGGCTATGGTATTAGGATAATATTAGTACTGGCCTTGTAGAGTGAGTTGGGGCATATTCCTGCCTCTACTGTTTACTGGAAGAGTTCACTAATTAGCATTAATTCTTCCTTAAACTTTAGTAGAATTTACCAGTAAAGCCATCCAGTCTTCAGACTTCTTTATGGGAAGATTTTAAATTACGGGTACGATCTCTTTATTTGTTCAGATTTTCTATTTTTGCTTGAGTCAGTTTTGATCTAAGGTTTCAAATTTGTTGGTATATAGTTCGTAGTGTTTTCTTGCAGATAGCTTTTAGCCTTATGTATTCTGATAACCTATTGAGGATTTTTTGGGGTTTTGTGCTTCATTTTGTTTTATTCATCTTTCACATTTTATAAGAGCTCTAAATGTTGTGAGGGTTCTTTAAGAGATTTCTTATGTTTCAATAAGAACCAAGAGACTCATGTAATGGTACAAGATCCCAATGATAAATGTAACTGTATTTTATACCTAAAATGTACCAATAAAGTTAATGGGGGGGGAACCCCTCAAACTATAAAAAAAAAAAAGAGAGATTTCTTATTTTTTAGATGGAATAATTCAAGCCTCTTTGAATACTAAAATTAGAATTTTTATTCTCATATTTCTTACATTAACACTTTCTTCAGGGCTGGTTGCTTTGCATGTTTATCTTGATGGATCACGTAGGTTGAACATTTTCTTGTACTGGTGAGTCTTCCAGTTGATTGTATTTATGAATGACTATAGATTTATCAGCATTGACCAGCAGTTGGGTGTAGCAAGCTATTGTGAAGGTGTGGTGTGAGGTTTTAAGGCTTCAGAAGCCAGCCAGCCTCAGAACTGTCTGGCTCTGGTCTGCTCTCACTGTTATTAAGTGCTTTGTGCTCCTCTCCATTTGAACAACAGACCCAGGTATCTGGATACATTTGATACACTCATGGTTGTGCCAGGTACCTCTCCCCCTTGAGTACTTTGGCAACCTAATCTCCTCTCCTTCTCCCACTCTTGTCCCACCCAGAACTGTCCTTTCCTGTTACAGCCCCTAGACAAATGCCCCAGTCAGCTGGGAGCAGCACAGAGTAGCTCTTGTGTCGCTTCCTGCTGTCTAGCACTCTACTGAGGCCTGCTGCAGCTCCAGCCTCTGCTGCATTCTTCAGGGGTCACATGGTAAAATGCATCTAGTCACTTTGGCTGTCCCCTCCTTCTACATTAGGATGCAGATGTCTCAACCCCTTCCACACACCTTTTTTTTTTTTATCAGATTGACCCCATCGGCTTTATAATTTTTAAAAATTCCCGAATACTTGAGGAGTATCTCTCAATACTGATACCACCTTTCCCCTTTGTCTCACACTCTTGTTGGTTTATTCTTATTCTTAATTTTTTTCTGTAATTTCAGTGAGATTTTGAAGGAGAAGAGAAAGAAGCATTTTCTCAATCTTTTTATCTTGAACAAGAATAGAGGTTTTTTTTGGTAAATGATTATAGGCAATTCATTTTGTATGTGTAAAATGCTTTGCCCTTTGCTCATCTTCACAAGAACAAAATGTGTACCCTGCGTATCTTAAGTCACTTGGGGGCAAGCATAACTGATGCAGTCTTTTTAAGTCTTATGGTTATATAAATTATATATATATAAAACAATTAAAATACCTACAGGGATGAGTAGCTAACAGATAAGTAAACAGAACACATACAAAGCTGTGAAAATTTGCCAGGATGGTGGGAAACTATGTCAGTTAAGACACATCTGCACAATCAAGAGATTCTGCTCACAGTGGTGCGGATTATTCAGTTCTGCAGAGCACATTATGCGCAGTCCTGAGAGGCCCAGACTTCATATGCTTTCTAGTTATAAAGTCCTGTATGCTGCAGGAGCCTTAGTAATCTCACCTCTGGAAGTGTTTATATAAGAATTTTTTTTGCTGGGGATTTAGCTCAGTGGTTCCACCACCTGCCTCAAAAGCACAAGGTTCCAAGTCCGATCCCCGGTACCAAAAAAAAAGAATTTTTCTAGTGAGGAAAATTCAAAGCAAACTAAACATTAGAATTTAAGGGGATAATTAAATGGCTGTTATGATTCATTGAAATCATTTTGCTATTTAAATTTTTATTTATGATAGATGAAATAATTTAAAATAATTTTGATCTAAGTTAAAATATCAAAATTGAATATTAATATGAATGAAGCTGTAAAACAGTATAGAAAAATAGTAGAAAGAAAGATATCAAATGTGACCAATGTTCTCTGTAATAGGGTTATCTATGGCTTTCTCACTTCTTGTATTTTACAGATACACCATCATGAGCATATGTTATTCTTTATAAAAGACAACAACTATTTTCTTTTTTTGACATTTTTATCTTATTTCCCAAACTACTTTTTAGTGATCCAGGTTTTGTTTGTTTTTGTTTTGTGCCTGTCTTTTGGGATTTGTTTCTTTTGTTTTTTTGAGATGGGGTCTTGCTATTTGAGACAGAGTCGGGGCTGGTCTTGAACTATGTAGCCCAGGCTGGCCTTAAACTCATGGCAATCCTTCTGCCTCAGCTTCCCAAGTGCTGGGATTACTGGTGTGTGCCACCATTCCTGACCTAAGTCTTGCTGCGCTACCCAAGTGGGCTTTGAAATCCTGGGCTCAAGTGATCCTCCTGCCTCTGCCTGCCAAGTATCTGGTGCTATAGGCACATGCCACCATGCCAGTTAGTTTTGATTTTATGTTATAGAGGCACAAAAGAACTCAGAGATAGAAATAAATCTTGTTAGATTTGCTCTATCCAGCTCTGCCATGGGAGAGGCCTCTTGAAAAATTCTTTTCCTTTCAGCTTGCCAGTGCAATGGCCACAGCAAATGTATCAACCAGAGTATCTGTGAGAAGTGTGAGAACCTGACCACCGGCAAGCACTGCGAGACCTGCATATCTGGTTATTATGGAGACCCCACCAATGGAGGCAAATGCCAACGTAAGTCATGTTGGTCAAGTTTGCCACTGGAGATCAGATAGAGGCAGTGCTTCCACCAGACTTGAATGTCCTGGAGGGAAAACCCCCTTGGTTTTGGATGTTGTATTTCTTATTAAGTCATATTTGTTAGAAGCTCAGCTGAGCTTGAATAGAGCTGAGCCACTTGGTCTCAGACTAGTGTATAGTAAGTAAAAAGCCAGCCTTGAAAGAGTTAAGGTTTTAATTGCAGTCAGTAGTAGTGTAAGCAAGAGGCCCAAACCAGAGAAAGTGCTGACTGCCTGTTCTTTTCTCCAGTTGAGGGTCGGTGGATGGAGGGTCAGTGCTGATGGGAGGATATTGTCTCACCATGGAAGGAGCTTTGTCAGCAGCATTGCAGACTCTGAGGTTGTGGGAAGGGAGAGAGGAAAGAGTTAGGAATGAGGAAGTCTTGGGCACTGAGTCAGAGTGAAGAAAGTATCTTCAGAGTTTCTTCTCTTCCTTAAAGAGGCCTCAGCAGAGGCACTGATGACCTATGCCTGAGGCCTGAGATTAAAACACAGGAGTAAATGATAACTGACCACAGCGTGGGGCAGACCTTGACTGCAGATCCCAGTGCTGTTCCAGAGTCTGTGGTAGGGAAGGCAGCTGTCCCTCTGAGTTCACCAGGGATTCTTCTGCAATGGCCTGCAGATGGGCATGAAAAATCAGACACAGATTTTTAACCAGGAGCTGCATTCCTCAATATTTCTAGTATATTTTAAAGATTTAAATAGTCCTCACTTGTGTCAGATAGAAGGCTGCAAGCTTTAGGACATTTTATTGTTAGAACATAAATTATGTTTTTACAAATGACAAATGTCACCAATGAATTGATTTTTTAAAATTTGTTCTAATTTCCAGCTGACAAATATGACCCCTCTAGTTGAAGCACCCCTCAGGTTTGAGCAGGAAAAATAATTAACATACCTCTACTTATTCCTTAGATACTACTTCTGAATTCCTTAACATACTCCTTCATTACCTGAACAGGACAGTGGTGGTGTTCTAGCTGTATGCCCCTTAATCTTTCTGTGGTTCTTTCAGTTTCCTCATTTGTAAAATGGGGATTGTAGGGTGGTTATTGAGATTAAAGCAGTCAGAACAGTGCATTATGCATAGTCAGTCAATACTCAGAAAATGTGAGTAATGATCATTGCCCTTCTGATGCCATTTCCCACTACTCTTAAATATCCTGCTCAGAATAAAAGATATTCAACAAAAATATCTTCTTACTCCTTGTAACTACATTTCATTCATTAGCTACTAATCAGAACACCTAATATTACCAAGCAGTATATATGTACAAGGAAAATTTTGTTAACAGATATTCAAGACGTGGGTACCTTTATTATTCTCTAAGTCAAGTAACCTGACCAAGGACTCACAATGAGATGTGGCCAAGCTGGGAACCACTTTCAGTAGACGTTGACCTTAATTACTGGCCTTGCTGTATCTCCAAGTGACCATCTCCATATCTGTAGCTGCCATCTAGAAAGATCACGTTTTCCTTTGTGACAGCCATAGGACCTTAGTACAGTTGTCTAGAGCTTAGAGTTTATTTATTTATTTGGTACCGGGGATCAAACTTGGGTCCTTGCGCTTGCGAGGCAGGTGGCAGAACCACTGAGCTAAATCCCTGGCCCTAGAGTTTATTTTATGTCCACAGTAGAAAGCATAGTTTTTTAAATGCCATGAGTGGTACCAAATCTTTAATGTTTTCCTCTTACAATTATATAGTCCTTAGCTAAGGATAGTAGCCAGCCAATGTTGTACTGAATGCTTGGGGGGTTTTTTGTTGTTTGTTTTTTTGAGACAGGATCTTACTGTGTAGTTCAGGGTGATCTTGAACTCACTATGTAGCCCAGGCTGGCCTTGAACTCAGTGATCTTCCTGTCTCTGCTGGGATTATAGGCGTATGCCATTACACCTGGCTTGAATGCTTGGTTTTTGTTTTGTTTTGTTTTGTTGCTGTTTTTTTAAAATTTGATTTTATACATGAAATTTACATTCATCTTAGGGAGTAGGAACATATATGTAACATACCTTGATTCTTTTTATTCCCCTTTACATCTCCACCCACTTCCCTCCCTCTGTCTCTAGACCCCCTTTCTCGGTTTTCATTATTATTGTTAATATTATTTTTTAGTTCATATTTATGACTTTATTATTGTTAATATTATTTTTTAGTTCATATCTATGACTTTTGATGTTTATATTTATTGTAGGTACTTAGTACATGTACATGGCACATTTTAAATCTTTTATTTCCCCTTTTTGTCCCCACCTCCCCTCGACCTCGTTCTCTTGGGCCCCTTCCCATTTGCAAAAGATCTGTCTCCCTGTTTTCTTCTATTGAACTTTTATTTTGCTCTTTGTTTATACTTTGCACTCAAATGATAGATACTGGGCAGTAGTTAAGCTTATGTGTCTAATTCACTTAACATATTTTCCAGGTATGTCCATTTTCCTACAAAAGTTTTGAATTTATCTTTATAGCCGAGTAGTATTCCATCATATATACTAAATCTTTTATTTTCCCCTTCTCTCTTGGTCTCTTGGTCCCTTATTGAATGCTTGCTGTTTTTTTAGTGTGGTACATGTATTATGTCCTTTAATCCTCACAAAAACTCTTGAGATGGAAATGTTATTATCTGCATGATATAGACAAGGTTAAGTAGTGGCCCAGAGTTATAGAAGAGCTAAGCAGAGGACACTGAATTCAAATTCAGGCCTCTGCTTTTCCCTGAGACACTGCCCCCACCTCCACATGCAACAGAGCAACAGTAGAACTCGTATTTCTGACTACAACATACTTGCTGGTAATCTCTGCTGTGTTCTGGTTTATAGTTTTCTTGGAGTGATTCTTTTTATTTCACAGAATTTATTTTAAAATTACACTTTTTTTCCAGCCTAGTGACTGACTTATTAATAGGAAAACAGAGTACAAAATGAAAAGGTATGGAGCACAAAGATTTTTGTTTATTTTGACTAGAGTTAAATATACCCTAGCTTATCTATGTGTAATGGATGAAGACAGGTAGAGGTGCTGACAGGAGGGAGATAGGAAGAGTTGTTTTCAGTAAACACAAAGGAAAAGGCAAGGTGAGGGTGTGAGTGCTGCAGGTCCTTGAAATGCTCCCGCTGCTATGGGAGTCTCTGCCACTTCTGAGTCCAGTGTCATTCAAAATGCTGAAGCAGAGGTCATTCCCCACCCAGATCATCTCCACTAAGACAGGGAGCCAGCATCAGGCACACTGAAGATGCTTCATAAATATTTACTGAACAAATGAATCATGATACTGAAAAAAGAGAATCTATCAAAAAGATTAAGAGTGATTGCCTCAGGTAGCAGCAGTCAGTGGGAACCAACCTTTTTCCTCTGTCCTTTGACTTTGGTTTCTCTAATGTCGGCTTTATATTATTAGAAATCATTAGTTGAAAAATCATGAATCTTATTACTAAATTCTCTTATTTTACCTGTCTTTCCTACCAAAGGCAATGGAGACAAAGTTATTTGTTTTGGGAAAAGTCTCTGATAGTAAGTCTCTTAAGCCAGTTGTGACCTGTGTTCCTTTTCCTCTTTCCTAGCATGCAGGTGCAATGGGCATGCATCACTATGCAATACCAACACGGGCAAGTGCTTCTGTACCACCAAGGGCGTCAAGGGGGACGAGTGCCAGCTGTGAGTACCACACTCTACCCATGGAGGGCTGGTGCTAGGAAGCTGCTTGAACCCTAAGAGCCACCCTTTCTCTGTGGCTTGTTGCCATGGGCTCTGCAGATCCTTGAGTTGATTAGTTTGAAATTTTGCCCTTTCTCTTTCAGACAGGTCAACCCCTAAACTCCCAAACTGGTCATTAGCATAATTCTTTTTTTTTTTGGTACTGAGAATCAAACTCAGGGACCTTGCACTTGCGAGGCAGGCAGCAGAACCACTGTGCTAAATCCCCAGCCCCATTAGCATAATTCTTTAATGGCTCTTTAAGTCACTTTTTTTTTATGTTTGAGTGATACTGAAATTTCCTGGCTTGCTGATTTGCATTAGTCATTGTAACGTCAGCAACTACTCAGCTTTTACCATGTTAGGAGAGTTATACTATTTCCTGAAGGATAGAGTTGGAAGAGGTGTTGGTCCAGTGACAGTATTTATTAGACATTTTGGTTGTCTGATAGTAGAGATAATCCTTGTGCCTTTCACACATCCCACCTTGCTCTAGCACTTACCCTAGTGCAGTGTATTTAACATCTTCTAGGGGAGAGTTGGGAGCCTCTGTTCGTGAGGATGCAGATTCAGCATCAGACAAGACTTAGGGCTTCGGATCTGGCTCTCTCTCTCCAGTATTCTTAAGACAGATCACTAACCATGCTGAGCCTCAGATTGTCCATCTGTCAATAGAAAGGACTAACAATAATTGTTTTCAGTAGTAATGAGTAAAAAGATTGTCCTGTTATTAACATATACCTGACTACCTCACTGAAAAACTTCATGGAACACATGCATGCATCCAGGCTTACTCATTCATTTGAGACTTAAGAGAGATGTGTTTAGTGTGAAAACATTGAACTAATGCAAGCAGATACATCATTGTAACCTGTTTTTATTAAAGCACAATGGTAATACTGCCATCAGTCATTGAGACATTGATAGTATTATTCAGCAGGAAATTGGTCTGTCTACATTTTGTAATATACCAATGTATATGGTTACTAGTTTTGTGCTTCCCTAAAGCCACTTTGTTAAGAAAAGTCTAATCAAAGATTAAATTTTAACTTTCTGATCCAGATTCCTTGAAATAGAAAAATGTGATACAGCAAAATTTGTCACTCTTGTCCTCTGTTAGCAATACTGCAAAGACATGAGGTAGCATCCTGTGGAAAACTTTCAGGTCTTTTCAAGACACTAGATATCAGCAGGTGCCAATCATCACCCCAGGTGGAAGGGCAGAATCCCTAGCTTATCTTATCTGGGAGAAGTGCTTCACCCAGGACTTCTCCTCTTTTCTCTTACTTCCAAGCTGTAGCTCTTACCTCAGTGGCTTTGTGAAGTGGAAAACTGGGTTTGCTGATGTTTGTAATGGTATCTGTGGGGAGATTTTAATAATTCCTTTTAGATGATACCTATGGATAATTAATAGTTCTTTTTAAATATAGCTTAGTTTTTCTTCAGACTGATGAACAATTGTTGAAGGGTTTTTTTGTTTTTGTTTTTTTTTGGTACGGGGGATTGAACTTGGGTCCTTGCATTTGTGAGGCAGGCAGCGGAACCACTGAGCTAAATCCCTGGCCCGAAGTGTTTTTGTTTTTAAGATGATTCTTAGTATTTAGGTTTCTTTTGCTTATGTTTATAAAGAACAGGATCAGTTTACTCAGGGAGAGCAGGAAAGAATTGAAAAATGAATATTTGAAAAATGTTTTAACTGTATTTTTAGAATATGTAGTCCACACAAAACTTGGAAGTATGCTTTTCATTATAATAAATGGGGTCTGAATTTATTACATTTGGGTTTATCTCATGTGCCTGGCAGCTACCTATCCACTGTTTTTATAAGTTGGCGGTGTGCACTGCCGGGCAATCAACATGAAAATCCCTGCAAACTCCCTTTAGTCCAACTGATCTGAAGAGTAGTGAAGAATGTAATTATCATGACTCAGAACTATTTGTTGTTCGTATCAGTCTCTCTGACTTTAAAATGAATGTAGATTTGGTTTTAAAGAGAAAATAATTCCATTTTTTTCTTCTTCTAGATGTGAGGTAGAAAATCGGTACCAAGGAAACCCTCTCAAAGGAACATGTTATTGTAAGTGTTTTTGTAATTCATATTTGAAGAAGCAAGGTGGTTCCACAAAACTCCTTTTTCTTTAATATGGTTTGGGAACAGTAAGTGTTAGAGGAATATAGTAGCAGCAATATAGCAGCAGCCATGGAAGTATCCCCTACAAGCACTGTGTTAAGCTGGTTTACTTGTGGTTGTGGTTTATTTTAGTGTGTCCATAGAAGATAGGAGGGGACAATGTACAGACATGAATCTCTGGCTTTTCTTAAGTTCTCCTGAATCCTTATTTCATTTGCCATTATCTGATTGAGGTTTTCATTTCATATTTCAGGATATAGATAAAAAACAGAATTGTTAAAATATAGATGAAGTTGTTATCATTCTCCCTCTTTTTTTTTTTTTTTTTTGGTACCGGGGATTGAACTCAGGACCTTGTGCTTGCAAGGCAAGCGGTGGAACCACTGAGCTAAATCCGCAGCATTATCATTCTCTTTAGAACTGATTTGTATTAGCTTCTTTAGGAACAAATAATATAAAGTAAAATATCAGATAATTATCTTGGAGTGAAAGTTGAATCTGGCAAGGTGACCAGGCCTTATGGGCAAATGCATTTTCTCCCTGTATGAGAATCCACGTGGTAGGCCAGATTGTGGAATAAGAGAAATGCAGTTAATGTTTGGTGTATCTAATTATATAACTGCCCTACTAGGCTGAATAGCATCACATTTGTATTGTCAGAATTTGTGTCCACCTGGAATCTGTGAATGGGGTGGGAGAAAAATTTCTTGATATTGGCTAGGGAAAAGAGCTCATAGATGGTATGATTTACAAAACATAATTCATAAAAGAAAAGATTAACCAGTGAAAAGTTATGAAAACAATTCAAAAAAACTATCCAAAAAATAAAAAACAAGCCAAAGTCTAAAGAACGATATTTGCAAATCAAATATTTGATAAAGAGCTTGAATCGAGAATTTATGAAAAATTCTGAGAACTGAAAAAGATAATTCTATTTAAAAGCAGGCAAAGATTTGAAGAGAATTTCACATGAGTGGCTAATAAGCACTTTAAAAAATACTTAGCATGGGCCGGGGATTTAGCTCAGTGGTTTTGCCACCTGCTGTGCAAGCCCAAAGACCCGAGTTCAATCCCCAGTACCAAAAAAAAAAAAATACTTAGAATCGTTAGTAATTTGGGATAGGTATATTAAATCACAGTGAGATACGACTAGCATCCCATAGAATCAAATGGCCTACAATGACTAGAATCAAGAATAATACCATAGCCTAATAGAAGACAACTGTAACTTGTTCTGCTTCTGCATTCAAGCTGTTGTAAGGAGTCTTCCTTGGTTAGATACATGTAAAGTATCTAGTCTCACAGGACAGAAAAAGAATGGAGTGTTTCAATAGCCATTTCAGATAACTGTGGACAGTATCTTTTAGGTTTTTTACTTTGCAGTATTGGGGATTGAACCCAAGGACTTCATACTGAGTTACATCCCCAGCCATTCATTTATTCATTCATGCATGCATGCATGCATTCATTATTTTTAACCAGGGTCTTGCTACGATGTCCAGGCTGAGTTCAAACTGTGCAATCCTCCTGTCTCAGCCTCCCAGAGTGATGAGATTATAGATGTGTGCCACCATGCTCTGCTTGGAGTGTCTTTTGATGCAATACTGAAACTGGAGAATTGGTCATTTCTTAAATGTTGAAATAGGGAAGTGGAAAACTCATGAGTGAAATTTGTCACCTGACACATTAAGGTCTGTTTGTGAGGTTAAAAGCCAACACCACATTTTAGCAAGGATGTTGAGAAACTGGAACCTTCCTGTGTTACTTGGGGAAACCAGACAGTTAAAAATACATTTACCAAGAATTCTTAATCTCTCCCTCCCCCGGACCCTAGCAACCACCCATTCTATTTTGTTTCTATAATTGACTATCCTGAGTATTTCATTTAAGTGGACCATGTGGTATGTGTCTTTTTGTGAGTGGTATTATAATTGGTGTAATGTTGTCAAGGTTAATCCATATGTTATAGCATATGTCTGAATTTTCCTTCTTTTGTGGCTGAATAATATTCCATTGTACTACATTACATTTTACTCGTCCATTTGTTAGTAGACAGTTGGGTTGTTTCACCTTTTGGCTACTGTGACTAATACTGCTGTGAACATGGGTATATAAATACCCATTTTAAACCTTGCTTTCAATTCTTTTGGCAGTATACCCATGACAGTTGCTATGTCATGTAGAAATTCTGAGTTTAATTTTGAGGAGCTGCCATACTGTTTTCTATAACAGCAGCACCATTTCCTTTCTCATCAGCAGTGTACAAGTATTTCAGTTTTTCTGTATCCTTACCAACACTTGTTATTTTCTGTTTTTAATGATAGCATTCTAGTGGGTATAAGATGGTATCTCATTGTAGGTTTGGTTTGCATTTCCCTAATGAGCAGATTAAATAGTATTATTATTAGTATTATAGAGTAATGCTAATATTAATAATGATAATATTATTATTGGTATTATTGAGTATCGTTTCATGTGCTTATTGTATATCTTCTTTAGGAAGCGATCACTATAGCCCTTTGCTCATTGTTTAATCAGTTTTGGGGTGGGGGGTTGTTATTGAGTCGCAATAGACTTTTTTTTGCAATGCTTTTTTTTTTTTTGAGACAGGATCTTGGTGTATACTCCAGGCTGGCCTTAAACTCATTATGTAGTTCTGGCTAGCCTCAAACTCACAACAGTCCTCCTTCAGCTTCCCAAGTGTTAGGATTACAGGCATGCATCACCATATCTGGCCAGTAGACTTTTACCAATTTTGTCATAAAGGTGCATTGTTATGGGTATATAATACCCATGTCTATTCTTTAGAAATTTTTTTTGTACAGGGGATCCAACTCGGGACCTTGCGCTTGCAAGGCAGGTGGCAGCACCACTGAGCTAAATCCCCAGCCCCTTTAGAATATTTTTATTGATGAAATGTTACTTTTAATTTTATAAGTTTTATTATATTAAACAATGAGTACTTAACAGGAAAAAAATTAAAAATTTAATTTTTACTATTTATTGAGTGTTTATAAAAATAAAGTATCAATTTTCAACATTGTTTTCTTGGCCTGCAAAGTCTAAAAAATAGCAACAGAAATAAATTCCTGTGTGAACTACAATGAAAGAACCAATAGAACTCTACAACAAAATATTGTCACACCCAAGGCAGTCTTCACACGTGACAACAGCACATTCCATATACACATTGCTTACACTGACAGCACATGTGTTTTGCTTTCCTGGCCTTTCTGTAGGACATACTTGACATCTTGCTGGTCTTGCTGTTTTGTCAAGAGGTTGTCATTATATTATACAATGTGTAGTTAACAGGAACATAAAATATCAATAAAATAAAATATTAAATTCTTCGGCTGGGGATTTAGCTTAGTGGCACCTCACCTGCCTTGTAAGTGCAAGGTCCTGAGTTCAATCCCCAGTACTGCAAAAAAAAAAAAGAAGGGGGCACAAATTCTTAATATGTATTGCACGTTTAGGAATAAACATCAATATTTTCACATCAGCTGTGTAATTACTTAAAACATAACATCAGATATAAAATGAAAATACCAATGGAGCTCTACAACACCCAAGGCAGCCTTCACACAGGACAACTGCATGTTCCATGCACGTGTCTCACTTATACTGACAGCACATGTGCTTAGCTTTCCTTTCCCATGTGGCAGGCCATTCTTGTTACTTCTCTTATCTTCCTCTTTTGTCAGGAGCTTCTTACTATATTGTACACTGTGCACTTAGCAGGGAAATAAGATTTCAATAAAATAAAATATCAAATACATAATGAGTGCTTCGAATAGACATAAACATTTTCACATCAGCTATTTATTTGCTTACAAAACCTAAAAGATAACATCAGAAATAAAAACCTATGTGAACTACAATTTAAATAGAAACAAAAGTCAACCACAGAAGTAATCTTTGCTTCAACTGTCCAGGAAGTCTTCACACATGACAACTGCATGTTCCATACATAAGTATCACTTACACTGATATGTTTTATTTTCCTGTCCTTTTTTGTAGGATACAGTTGACATCTTTTTGGTTTTCCTGTTGTCATAATAGGTCTTTGTGATGATGTGCCTGCCAGTGTACTTTACAATTTTTTTGTGTAGTTCCCTGGGCAGAAACATTTTGTTTTTCCTCTGCTGTAAGTGAGTTCCAGTGCTGATCCTCTAAGAAAATTTCTGTGTGATACTTTGCACTTGTTATTTTTTTTAATAAACTATCGAACACTGTGCCACATGTTTAGGAGTGAGTAAAACACAGCCATTGGCCAATGACTTGTGTTTTGAGTGACATCATAGTTGCTACATGGCTCATCAACAGCATCTACTCTGCCTTTAGTTTTGTTGTAAAAAGTTACCATCTCAGGCTTCAGTTTTGTTGAGGTCTTGTTCAACTGTAAATGCCACACCACCCTAATATACTGCTTAAAGCCTCTACAAAAAAACACTTGCAAGATGTTTATCAATAGTCAGTTATTCAGATGGTATATAAATTGCTTGACCTTTTGAAACAAAACTCTCAGTGACTAGTGGATATCAGCCAGATTATCAGTTCTTTTTTTCTTAGTGGGTGGTTTTGTCAACAAGCCTCAGGCAATTTTGAAGGAAACCAAATCTCTGTTGCTGTTATTCTGCCAACCTCATGCCCATATTTTAAGTCCTTTATATCCTGTGATTATCATGAAAAAGCCCTGCTAAGTACCACAGACCAATGAATGCTTTCAATTCCGCTAGTAAGGTGTCATAATAAACCCACTTTTGAGTATGGCTATTGAAGCATACAGAATAATTTACTTGCATTTCAGCCTTTATGTATTTCACAACATCTTGTGGCATTTCATCTGTTACAAACAATTTCCAAACTTCAGTGGCAGTGCTGGCATTCCATCCATTAGGTTTCACCCCTGCCAAGATCCTCACTAAATTTTTGGGCATAGTTCTAACATTGGATCATTCCATTTGGTTGAGTGACCATTTTGTATCATTTCAACTAGTCAAATGTGTGCTCACATTGCTGTTTTCTCATCTGAATCAAGGAGGTCTTCATGCCCTGTGTCTGTTTTGGTGGATTCTTGCTCCATTTTACTGTTACAGTGACATTGGCTCACATGGCCAATGTCATCATCTGTGCATGAGTCACCTGATGTTTCACTTTTGACCTCCTCCCAAACTTGCAAATCTGGTTTTTCATGTGCTGTTGTACTGAATTGGGCTACTTCTACCAGAAAAATCAAAAAGAAATTTTTTTAAAGAACAAATCCTAAATACATACCTGTTGCTGCTTTGGAGCTCCTATACATATCTTGCCTTTCATCTGCCCAGTGAGTGAATGCACAGATGGGTTCCTGCTGTCCCCATGCCCAGCTACTGTGAGCCATGCCCACATCCCGTTATGGTAAAGTACATATTTAGTTAACAGAAGAATGGTGTGGATGTATTTTACACTCCGCCCCCATGCTCAGGTAAACATTTACAAAAACTGTTACGTGGAGCATTATGTGGGTAAAAATCCCAGTGTGACACTTTTGCACAGGTACACACACCTTGCCATTAGTGGGTAAACATAAGAGGGTAAACAAATATTCCTTCTTGTATCCCCCAAGTGCAGCTACTGAGATGCACAGCACAGCCGGCTACTATTATGCTAAAGTACAAATTTACAGTAGAAAAGTATGGGATGGGTTGTTGTAACCTAATGTTATACCCTTCTGGTTAAGTTAAATTATGCCAATTTGGGGTAGTAAGCTCTTTCAAGTTATATCACCTTAGTGTGTATGTGCTTTCCTCCTTTCTGGAATAAAATAATCAAGGTATATATCCCTTACTCCAGAGCTATAATCAACCATTTTTCCATGGAGTCCTGGTTTCTGTCACACTATCAATTTAAATCTTTGTATCTTTTAACAAAACCTAGCATGTGTATATTCAGTTAATATTTGTAGGTAAGACTGGAGCCAAAATCACAAGGAGGGCCATGATATAAGGAGGATTTGATGGGTATCTCAAATAAAATAATACTGCCAAGAGACTTGGTTGGTTTCTTTTGAAAATCTTGGGTGTGAGTCAGAGTCCTTTCTTGGCTATTGAATTTATGAACAAAGCAATCTTTATCTCCAGAGATCTGTTCCATTTTGTTCTGTTTCAATTTTTTAAATATGCATTTCTTTCTTTCCATAGATACTCTTCTTATTGACTATCAGTTCACTTTTAGCCTGTCACAGGAAGATGACCGCTATTACACAGCCATCAATTTTGTGGCTACTCCTGATGAAGTAAGATTTTTTAAAGTTTTCTAATGTGTTCTAAATGTGCGTGGATCCTTTTCTGGGTCATCATGGATAGAAGCTGCAGTCTCAGAGTGGAGTACATTGTGTGATCTTTGGAGGCACAAAAAATGTTACAGACTACATTTTATCTCCTTTCCATCCAAAAGGCAAGATCGTGGCTGTAATATTATTAGGATTTGATGATGCATGGACTGGCATTGCCTCCCCACATATTTGGTTTGCCTGTCAGCAGATCATTGAGAGCAGATGGCAGAGCCCAGATTGACTCTTATCAAAACTGACTAGAGACTTCAAAATCACCAGTAAAAAAAATTGTTGATTGAAATTGACACCAGTGACACAGGCGTAAGCAGACAGCAAAGGAAGTAGCAGACTTGATCCCTGTGCTCCTAGAATGAGTCTTTAGCCTCATTAGGAGGTAAAACAACAAAGGTTTAGTTGGATCCAACCAGAAGTGGCCAAAAAACAATTTTAATGGTCAGAATGACTATTTCAAATGTAGATTTATATCTACTGCCATTAATAATGGAGCTCAACCTGTCCAAAGGCATCACCTGGTGGGAGAAAAGAGCCAACACAACATGGCATTTCAGAGCAAGCTCCACAAGCATGAAAAGATACCTATGCAATTTCTTTTCTTCCTAGTCTTCTTGCTGCTGGGGATGGACCCAGGGCTTTGCAGGTGCTGAGCATAAGCTTTACTGAGCTACACCCCAGCCCAGTCTCCTTAATGAAATAATCATTGAGTATCTACTCCAGTATTTAAGGAAATTTTACCACACTTGGTGGTAAGCTATTTAGGAGCCTCTGTGGAGGTTTCTTCTCATTAACTTACACAAAGCCATTTACCATCATAAATTCCTGTCAAAATAAACATGACAAATAATACATGGAAAACAATATGGCAGTAACCCAGCACATTTTCCTTTATCAAAAAATGTTATCAATAAACATTACTAAATTTTAAAAAAAGTAGTAAAACAGCTGGGTATGGTTTCACACACCTGTGATCCCAGCACTTTGGAGGCTGAGGCAGGATTGCCTCAAATTTGAGGCTTTTCTGGGCTACGTAGTAAGTTCAAGTCTGGCCTGAACTACATAGCAGAACCTTATCTCAAAAAGATAAAAATAAAAAAGAGAGAAAAGAAAGTAGTAGAACAAAGTCCAAAATGTGGTATGTTTACTTTTTTTTTTTTAATATGGGGGATCAAACTCAGTATCTTGTGCTTACAAGGCAGGTGCAGTGCTGCTGCGCTAAATCCCCAGCTACAATTTATTTTTAATATTTCATTTGAATGATAAAATTAAGAAAAGATGGACTGGAGAAGATACATTCTTACAAGTGAATGGCTTTTTAGGTAGAAGTAATAAGTGACTTTAAATAAAAATATTTAATGGAAAAACTAGACATTTGAGTGGCATGTGGCCTGGGAATGACCATGATAATCTTTTTTTTTTTTTCATTAATAAAAACATTTATTTCTGAGTAAAAGCATAGGAGGTAGAAATTTCTTTTTTATTTTATTTATTTATTTTTTTTGACCACGATAATCTTTAAACTTCTCTTCATTTCCCTGTTTGTCTTATGGCAGAATATTTAGTAGAGATACCCAAATGTGTGAGCTCTGTGTTTTAAAAAACACAAAGATTTAAAGTTTATTGATTTTCTCCATGGAAAGAATTGTCATGTGCTAGAAGTAAATATTAAATATAAACACTTGAGCTGTTGTTGCAAGAGGAAGTGAAATTTTCTCAGTAAATGAGAAAGTAACTACTGTCTGAAAGAAACTACTCGTAAAGAGCTCACATTTTGAAAATGGCTGTTTACAAGTGTTTCCATTGTTATGGTTCTGTACTATAGTAACTATCACAGCACTACCATCACAAATCTTACTTTTCTAATCTGTTTTGAGTTTGGTTGATTGGTTGATTGGTTTTTTTGTGGAGCTAGGATTAAAGCCAAGGCCTTGCACACACCAGGCAAACCTACTAGCTCTGAGCCATACCCCCAGCCCAAAATTTTTTAAAATGAAGAATTTCAGCATGATTGGATACATTTGTAAAATCTTAAGAATATAACATCTGATTAGTTTGCAAAATTAATTATTTGACCCCTGAAAGAGATTTACTAGCCAAATTTCAGTGAAAACTGAAACTTAGTATTTACCTAGCACAGACCACAATGCCTTCTTCTTTCTGGCTCAACAGATAACTTAGCAAACTTTTTTAGTCATTTTTTTTAATCATTAAAATCAGAATCAAAATAGACTGGCCCTTTGAATTGCTGTATTTCTAAAGAATAAAAAAGATTTTCAGAGCAAAGAAAGCATACTTAGTCATATTTCTATTAAAATAATATTTTTAGTGAGAGAAAAATATTTTAAATTATGATTGAATATAATTAAATTATTTTTTAAAATTAGTATATTCAGCCTTATATGCTTTTTTTGAGATAGGTCTCGCTATGAGGTTCAGGTTATGTAGTTTACAGCAATATATATATATATATATATATATGCTTTTTAAAGAGCATGTCCAATTTGGGAGAAGTTTTACACTGTATCATAATCTATGAACTCAGAAGTATATGAGCTTAAGTTATACATAGAAGTTGGGGCACTGGATCAGGTGTTTCTCTAGTAAACAAGAACTTCAGGTGTTTGGAAAACAGCTGCCCAAAGGTTCCTGATGAATCTGGGTCCTCTGATATGGGTCATAAGATGTGAATCATTATTCTTTGACCGGGGCCTTTTAAAAAGGTATTTTTTGGCGTGGGGATTTAGCTCAGTGGTTCCGCAGCCTGCCTCGCAAGTACAAGGACCTGAGTTTGATCCTTGGTACAAAAAAAAAGGTATTTTTTCATGGAGTTAGGCATCTGATAAAGCCTTAAATTTCAGTGTGTGTATGTGTGACTGGGAATTGACCCAGGGGTTACTGAGCCACATCCCCTGGCATTTTTATTTTTATTTTTTAAGACAGGGTCCTGCTAAATTGCATAGCCTGGCTTTAAACTTGGAATTCTCCTGCCATAGCCACCCAAGCATCTGGGATTACAAGTGTGCACCACCACACCCAGCTCCATATACTTTTATGAAAAGGAAGTGAAATTTTTTATGGGGTATATTGCTTGTATTAAGGAAAATTTGTTTGAAATTTTGCTATCTTTTCTATAAGCATGAGTTTCTCTTGAGAGATTGTGAAACTCTCTGTAGTTAGGGAATTTGAGAGAAGTAAAATCTAATTATTGCTTATTTTAAAATCTAGAAATGGACTGGGCATAGTGGTGCAGAATTGTAATCCCAGCACTCAGGAGGTTGAGGCAGGAGGATCGCTGCAAATTCAAGGCCAGCCTGGGCTACATAGTGAGTTCAGGGCCAGCCTGGGCTACATAGTGAGACCTTGACTCAAAAAAAAAAAATCTGAACATAGTTATAATTAATTTTCTACTTATTTTCACTCTCTCATCAGCAAAACAGGGATTTGGACATGTTCATCAATGCCTCTAAAAACTTCAACCTCAATATCACCTGGGCTGCCAGCTTCTCAGGTAAAGACACCTAGAGAAGTCACTGTGAGTTGAAATGATGGATTGAGAAAGGGGTAGGTTTTGGAGAGAAACAGGTGGCTTTAAAAAGTACCTTTGCTACTTACTAGTTGTAAGATGTAGACCTTAGAATTCTTCTGTAAAGTGAGCATTGCAGTATTTACCTCCTAGAACTGCATAGATTAAATTAGGTTATACCTACGTGTGCCCACCATGAGTAGGTTATTACTGCCCCTACTACTATTCACACCTTTGCTGTGGTCACTGTTCTGGCACTGCCATCATCATCTACATCTATGCTTCAGAGGTGAAAAATAGTTTCAAGAAATGAACACATTTTAAATAAAATGAAATTTAGTAGGTACAGAAAACTGCACTTTGAGAATTAAACCAAGATCTAAAACCAAGTTCTTTTATCTCACTATGATTCACTGAAGATCAGATGACCCTAGTTGGGTCATCTGACAGATAACCACCACATGATCTGATAACTCAACAGATAGACATGGGTTTGTTTGAATTCAGCCTGCTGCTTACCTGCCCCATGCTGTTGGCAAGTTGCCTAGGCTTTCTGAGTCATTTTCCTTTTGTATGAAATGGGACAGTGAAAAACATCTTACTGAATGTTATGAGGATTAAATGATGTTATCAACAAAGTACTCACTGTAATGCTTGATACATGGTTAATTCTCACTAAGTGGTAACTTTTTCATCATCATTATTACTGTACCAATACCTTGTTTTTGTTGGAACACAAACCAATTAGACTGGTGCAAAATAAGAACATAAGTTTTCCACACCACTTTAGGGTTCATCATATCTTGAAAGATTATACAGAATTAGGGAAGACTTTTAAGAGAAAGTCTGAAATATTAAAGTATTTGGAGAGGGCCGGGGATTTAGCTCAGTGGTTTCGCCGCATGCTGCGCAAGCGCAAGGACCCAAGTTCGATCCCCGGTACCAGAAAAATTTAAAAAATAAAAAAGTATTCGGAGAAGGGGACATCATCTCAGAACATGGGAATATTTGCAGTGATCAGGGATGTGACAATCTAGGCCAATGGTGATGAACCTATGGCACATGTGCCACAGCCAGCTGTTTATTATCATTGAAAGCTCTAAAAGTTTGCCATCACTGGTCTAGGCTGTAGACCCAGGCTTAACTCAAGCATGAGAAAAAGTCCATTTTTTGAGTCTATATAGCCACTTAAGTCCCTGGCCATGGGGACTATGGAAGGTGAAAGGAATGTCTGGGAATAGATAGAGTTAAAAAAGACTGGAAGGAAGCTGGGCATGGTGGCTCACACCTGTAATCCTCAGGAGACAGAGGCAAGAGGATTGCTGAGAGTTTGAGGCCAGCCTGAACTACAAAGTGAGACCCTGTCTCAAACAAACAAACAAAAAAGGACTGGAAAGGGCTGAGGATTTAGCTCAGTGGTTCCATTGCCTGCCTCGAAAGTGCAAGGTCCCGAGTTTGATCCCTGGTACCAAAAAAAAAAGACTGGAAAGACTTGATACAGGGTGCCTGGTAGCAGAAGGTGGGGCTGAGCCGACTCCTTGAGACCCTTCCTACTTGAGGCCTCTGCTGGTTAGGAAGTGAGGGGTAAATCAGTATCCCTGGCACAGGGTCTGGTGCATTGCTTCACAGCTGTAAAGGGGAAATGTGAAAAAAACTGAGGTGATATGTTCACAGGGAATGCCAGGGTGTGTTTATAGAACCCTGATGTTATCTGTGGTTTCATGGCCATATGTTGACAGCGTCATGGGGGAGGCGGGTGTTGGAGGTGTTTCTGGTTTGGGGCATAGGCTTGTGTATCAGCCTGCCCAACTTCAAATACCAACTCCACTATGTATTCTCCATGTGACCTGAGGCAAGTTACTTAATTTCTTGGAACCTCAAATTTCCTAATTTATAAATGAAAATAATAGAACTGTTGTGTGGATTAAAGGAGATTGAGCTCTTAAAGGCTATTCCTGAGACATTGTAAGTGTTAAGTAAATGTTGCTATCTTGATGATGATGATGATGATGATGATGATGATGATGATGATGATGATGATTATTTTGTACCGGGGATCGAACTTGGGACCTTGTGCTTGAGAGGCAGGCGGCAGAACCACTGAGCTAAATCCTTGGCCTGCTATCTTTATTATTAATGAGTGCAGATTTTGTTGAAAACAGTCTTTTATTTTCATTCTTTTCTTCCTAACAGCTGGAACTCAAGCTGGAGAAGAGATGCCTGTTGTTTCAAAAACCAACATTAAAGAGTACAAAGATAGCTTCTCTAATGAGAAGTTTGATTTTCGCAACCACCCAAATATCACTTTCTTTGTTTATGTCAGTAATTTTACCTGGCCTGTCAAAATTCAGGTAAGAAGTGCTTTTTGGCCTCATACATGCAAAGATGGTGAAATTGTTCTAGGGAAAGACTAAATTTGCTAATTTGAAATTTGTGGTAAATAAAATGTGCACTGTTACTTTGCCTTTGACTTGTAAAATCTGTACAAAGAAGTGCTGAACATTTGAGCACTGGGGAAATGATTGTGCTAGGGCTGTCTTATGTCACCTGTGAGGAAAATTTATAAATACTACAAGTTGGCATATGGTAAATTTGGTAATTACAGATGTACTCATTTCTTCGTTGAGCACTTGCCATATAAAAGCAAGTAGTGTTACACAAAGAGCTTTAACTCTGGAATGAATAAGGAGCGTACAAAGGAATTAAACATATATAACCAGTGAAAGCCATTGTGGAAAGTGATCTAGGAAAAGATGCTCTAAAAATGCTGTCAGAGTTTAAGGCAGCATAACTGGAGGCGGCATGAAGTGGTGTGTAAGAGTACAGGCCTTGTGGTCTGACAGATGTGGGTTTGATTCACAGCTGCTGTGCAAATCATGGAGCCTCTCCAAGTCTCAGATGATTTGTACATGTGACCCAAGGAGAGTTGTTAGGGATTGTGTTGCCTGATACAACCTCTGTTGTTGTCAGTCTGCTCTTTCCTACTTCCAGTGGGATAGGGTGCTCCTTCTGTCAAGACCCATGGCCCCATTTGGGATTTTCATAATTATATCCTCTGAGCTCTTGCCTCAAAACTGCCTGCTCCTTATCTCCTTAATTTTGAGTGAATGTAGAGGAAAGGGATGGGAGGACTTTGAAAGACTGGTTTACTTTTAGCCACAGAAATATAGTTATTGGACTGTGACTATTAATATGATCAACTTTGGAAAAAAGTCAGCATTACTTAGCTAGGATGGGTTTGGAACCTAGTTCTGGTAGTTATGACTTCATACCTTGGGACTGTGGCTGAAGAAGTCTTTTCCTTTTTTGGAAGTGGAGGACTGTGTTGTATTTCTTCTCACAACCCTCTCTCCTTTCCTGTCTAGATAGTCTTCAAATGTACTCGCCTTCTGATCTGCTTTTCCCTTTGCTCTTGCACATTCTTTGCATCCTTCCTCAATCTTCTTGTGAACAAGGACCACATTCTCTATATGTTTCCTCTTATCTCTCCACCCATCAGCCCACAGCAATCTGACTTATTCCCTCAACACCAGAAACCACTCTCTCACAGTGAACCCCTGTGACTGAATTCTTGAGTCTCCTTTTCTTTCTTGCTGCATAACTTGAGTTGCTGTCTTTTTTGCCTTCTATTCCTTTCTTTCCCTGATTCTCTGGCCAGTCTTTTTAGGGAACTCTCTTCCTTAAACACTTGAGGTTGTCTACAATTCAGGCCTTGGTCCTCTTCTCTCTTCCCTCTACACAGCTTCCCTGGGTATTTCATCTCAAGTGCAGGATTTGTGGTACTGCTTTCATGTGAGCACCGCACCAGTGTTCTTGACTACTGGTTAGACATCTCTGCCTAGATGTTTACAAGCCCTGCACACTGGCCTGTGGTTGCTTTTGGGATCTTAGCCCTAAACTTCTGTTTCTTTTCTTAGTGAACAGCACCACCATTCACTCTGTTGTACAAACCAGGCCCAGAAATCATTTGTATTCTTGGCATAAACCGAACTTGGGCATGATAGTATTATTTCCCTACTGTACACGTTGCTGGATTCATTTTGCTAATACCTCCATTAAAACTTTGTACCTATTTCATGAGTGGCAGCATTTGATAATTTTCCTTTTTTGTCCTTATTGTGATATTGATATTAAGGTAAATGAATGTAACCTTTTAATAATTATAATTTGAAGAATTTTCTTTCTCATCTTTAGAAAAGATTAGAATTACCTATCAAGTCCTTATAAATTCTTTTGATTCTAGGATTTTATTTGTTGAGATGATTTTAGCTACCAAATCAACTTTGAGGATGTTTTGGGTTTTCTTTTCCTATTTGAGTCACTTTTGGCAGTTTTTTTCTAGATATTTATTTCATGTGTTTCCAAATGCGTTGCTATAAGCTTGTTCACATTATTCTCTAATCTTTGTAGCATCTGTGCTCATACAGCCTTTTTGTATATCAGTGTCCATAACAGCATTACTCCCATTAGCCAAAAGGTGGAAACAACCCAAATGTCCATCGATAGATGAATAAAAATTTAAAATATAATTAAATATATATGTATAATGAAATATTCAGCCTCAAAAAGCAATGACAGGGCTGGGAGTGTAGCTTAGTAGTACCATACAAGCTTAACAAGTGCCAGGCCAAGTCAGTCCTCAGCATGTTAAAAAGAGGAGGGTTGAAATTCCAATGCATGCTATAAGACATGTGATCCTAAACATGCTAAATGAAATAAGTCAAGCACAAAAGGACAGCTACTGTATAATTCCACTTATATAAAATATAATATTCAAATTCATACAGAGAGGAAGTAGAGATTAGAGGTTAACTGGAAGGAACAGAAAATAGGAAGTTACTGCTTCATGGTTATTATAGAGTTTCTATTTAGGATGATGAAAAAATTTTGGAAGTAGATAATAGGGCTTGTTGTACAAAATTGTGAATGTAGTTATTGCCACTGAATTATGTACTTAATAATGGTTAAAATGGAACAGGGCACAATGGCATGTATGTGTAGTCCCAGCTACTCAGGAGGCTGAGGCAGGAGAATTGTTTGAATCCAAGAGTTCAAGACCTACCTTGTCAACATAGAGAAAAAAAGTGGTAGTGGTAGGGGTTTTTAAGTGATAAATTTTGTATCATTTAAAATGATAAATTTTGCCACAATAAAAAGTTTTAAAAATTCTCAAGATGTTTTTATAGATCTAGACAAACTTATGAAAAGGCAAAGGTTCTAGAATAGTTCTAAAAATTTTGAAAAAGAAGAGTGAAATGGGAGGAATCATTGTACCTAGTATTAAAGCTTATTATAACTAATACATTGTGGTTACTGGTAGTGTTAAACACACAAATCAGTGGGATGAGCTCATCTATAGAACCACATAAAGTTGTCCAGCTGATTTCTGACAAGGATGCAGAGCAGTTCATTGGAGGAAAGATGGCCTTTTCAACAAACAGTGCTAGAGCACTTGGAGAGTTATAAGAAATATATAAGCTTGGATCTGAACTGCACATCTACAAAAGTTAACTCAACATGGATCAGAGATCTAAATGTAAAACATAACTGTAAAACTTTTAGGAAAAAAAAATAAGAGAAAATCTGTCTCCTCCATTCCCAAGATTTAACCCAGGGCCTCAAGCATGCCGAGCAGATACTGTACTGCTGAGCTACACCCCAACACAGTTTCATTTGGCTCACATCTGACACTGTCAAGTTACAGATCATATATTTTGTTAGATTATTGTTATACAAAATACTTGATTTGGAGTTTAGTACAGAAAATGTATTGACTTATTTTAAGCTGAGATTTTTTTTCATACGGACCTTGTCATATTCTGAATCCAGTTGAACAACAAGCTTTGTTGTTCACAACTGGAAAATGATTAATATTTTTCAGAGTTTGAATGAGAATCTTGACTTATTTTGCTGATGTTTTCTGCAGCTAGAAAGAAGGCTGTGTGCATATAAGCAGGCTTTTGTGTGGAGATAGCAGTGGTGTTGCCAATGCCGAGTTCTAGTTTTTTTCCTCCCAACTCCCCGTTGCTCCACCCTCAGAAAGTCACTGACATGGTTTTAGAGCTGTCCTTTAAGAGGGAGCTCTTCCCAAAACTTACTTTAAAAAGTAATAATTTTAAGTTTAAGAATCAAGCAGATGTTGGTTTTTTCCCCGATTTTTTGGTGCTCCTTACCTGGGCTGGATCAGTAACTTGAATAAAGCTCACTTATAAAAGCTGCGTTCAGGAACAATGGCGTGCTCACCTTTGAGTTTGCCAAGCTTTCCTTGAAAGAGCAGGTAAGTTCTATTGAAAAATGTGTCTTTTTACTCTCTGGTACAAATGATTGCAGTAGCTACAAACAGTATGAGTAAACTTGTGGTGCTGTGTGTTCTCAAGTGTCTTCTCACAAGAGTCAGGTTGACACTGGTTCTGTGTACTTGGATGGGATTTGTCTGGGCACTATGTGAAGGGCTGAGCTGGCATCGTCCTGGGTATATGCATCGTGGTCTCAACAAGGAAGGGCTCTGTTTTGCTCTATTTTCCCCAGAGTTGTAGCTTTTCTAGATGTAGCATAGCTCTTACATGCACAGATGCACGCACACACATGAGCACATAGTAGCTCTATAAATTGAACAAAACTGTACAGACTTACTTAACAAAAAGAGTAGGGAAATATCTAAATGTGCATAGTAGGTTTGGGCATTCAGTTAAATTTCAATATGACTTTCAACGCAAGCAAAGCCTTTTTGCTGGTGAGTCTCATTTTTTAAACCAAAGTAACTGAGGAAATCTAATTCTTAACATAGAAATTCACATAAACATTGGTGCTTTAAAAGTGGTAATGCTAAAACTCCAGTTCCTTCACTCTGAACTGATCCAAAGGTTTTTTTCATAATTAGGAACAGATCAAAACCTGTAACTGCTAAGGAAATTTGAAACTAACTATAAAATCTTTGTAGAAGTAGTTAAAAAAAAAAGTGACACCAGACTGAAAAGGCCTGTGTGCAGGAGGGAAGTGGGGGTGCTGGGGCCAATTGCACCTGGCTTCTGGGCAGTTGTTGCTGTGGATTAGGGCCCTTCACTTAGCCCCTGCTCTCTGAAAGCTGTCCTCGTTCTCCAGTGAGCAGGGTTTCAGCTGGCTTCCACCGTGCCCACAGTTCGGGAGGGTAGGTGTTCAAGATAGAGGAGGGACAGGCAGGCGTTGTGTGTGGGATGGGAGGGTGGGTGGTGGAGCTGGGTTCTGGCTTGTGACTTGCTCTGCAACAGAGGTTGTTATTGTAACGTGGATCTAATATTAAAGCCCTCTCCATGGTGAGTGTTTCATGTAAGAGACCAGTGTTCACGAGGGAAGGCAACACAGAATTTGTTTT